ATAATGGGAAAGCAGGGTTTAGTTAATCTAGTGTATAATGGGAAAGCAGGGTTTAGTTAATCTAGTGTATAATGGGAAAGCAGGGGTTATTTATTCTAGTGTATAATGGGAAAGCAGGGGTTATTTATTCTAGTGTATAATGGGAAAGAAGGGTTTATTTAATGTAGTGTATAATGGGAAAGCAGGGTTTAGTTAATCTAGTGTATAATGGGAAAGCAGGGGTTATTTAATCTAGTGTATAATAGGAAAGCAGGGTTTATCGATACATATTCTCCTTAAGCTTGTGCAGTAAATCACTTGGAAGGTAGATAATTCTGGGCATGTTGAAGAATGATCTGCACTGCATCAAGGAGATTCAGAATCTGGTCACAACTTTTTAAGTGTTGCAATCTCCTGCTAACAAAGCCTTTCACTAAATATGAGAGCTCATCAAGTCAGCTGGGTTTACAACACCTAAAGCATCAGGCTAAAATACTATATTTACATCAGTCATCATAAATACCTGAAATTCTATTTGCAAGAGTCAAAATAAAACATAAATAGTTTTTCAGCAAATGTTCAGGTGTTGTAAGCCTAACCAACCAGCTGGTTTGGAAGAGAAATGAGTGCATGTAAAAAAAAGAAAACGAAATAAAACTGAGGAAAGTTGAGTATGAATGTTTTAGGTGTTCTAAATTACATGTGCAGCTGCAGCAGAGAATGGAAATTCAACACACTGTAATTACATAAACTATACTTTATTTTACAATATTAACATGAAATGTAATGATATAAGATATATATAAAAAAATTCAAAGTCAGAGATTAATAACAAGAAAAGGTTACAGTATCTAATGCCACACTGTACCTGAATATTATGCTAATTTTTCTACAAACATAGAAGGGAATTTTCCTTCCTTCCCTGCTGGATCTTGGACTAGTTTTCCCTGCCACCAATTAGAATTGATTATTCTGGTAAGAATAATTCTTTCTCCCTCACTAAATGTCAGTTCGTCACTGTTTTCACCTTGAAACGGATACTTTGCAACATACCATGTTGATGTGGCTTGATTCTGTGTAAAAATAACTTTACTTAAGCAATGAAAACAGCTTTTTAACATTAATTATAGTTTGGCCTTTTAAAAATAAATACCGAGTATAAAATTAAAGATATACTTTAAAAAAAAACAGGTTTTCTTAAGATATCCCTCAGCTATCAAAATCAAAGAAACTCCAACCATTCAATACTATCATGTATTTATATAACTTGACATTTGTGTTTATTAATACTTCTCTTAGAACAATTTCTGAATATTTTCAACAAAGTTAATAAAACACTTGCTTCAATTCTATTAATTCTGTTTTCTTCATTCTATACAGAAGATTTCTTTATGGATATTTTAGAAACACATTTTACTCATAAGTTAATCACGAGGCATGCATGTAAATCTTTATTTTATAAATGGTGTAAGTTTAAATTTATGATATACTAACTTCTGTCTCTTCTGTAGGCTTATGGACAAAAGCTGCTGGAAAGTATCCTTTCTGGCCACAGCATTCACCATACAACCAGTCTTTGTTGATGCGAGCTATAACATTGATCCTATCACCTTCCTATACAAGAAAACGGGACAGACAGAAACATAATTATCATGTAATATTAATAAATTTCAAGCAATCCTGTGTCGGAGAATAGAATGAAAGAAATTACAAAAGATCATTTATAAATCAGAGTACCCATCTAATCAAGCCACTGTTAAATTAGTATTTAAGATGGTATCAATTAATACCAACATGCCAGTAGTCTAAGTATATTCAGAATCATTCCTCTCTTTTCGTTTTGTGACTATAATATTTGCAAATAACATTTCGAATTGAAAGTGTGTTACAAAAGTAATAACAAAGAAAAGGAAGAAATTATACATGTTTCACACACAGTAACTTACACTTGAGGTTGTTAAAAACTAAACAAGATATTGCAAATAATAATGTTTTAGAAGTAAAATGAAGTTTAAAGGTGACTTTGCTCTTATATATGACTATTATAAATCATTTGATCTTCTCTTTGCTATCTCCATCACTAGCGAGATGATATATGACTACACCAACTGTTTTTAAATATTTTTATTCACAGCATCTGAAAGCTGTTATGTGATACCACTACTACCTGGTCTCCAATTGGAAAATTGTATGCCTTTGATGAGCACATTTTTTCTCTTAATGTATGTTAAAGAAGTGATTTTAATGATCATAATATATCTAAAACTGCACCGTATAAGCCATATGCAGACTGTCCACCTTGGAAAAGTACATAGTTTTGTTATTTTTATGACAAACTTCTGGGCCCCTTCCAGCTTTTTTCCTGGTAAAGTTTTAGAGTCCAGTCCACTCCTGCATATCCAACACCTACAGCCATATAAAGCACCAATGAGTAGCAAACTGAGTTGATGAAAGCTTACAATGTTTAAAACTCTAGTTCCCAGCCAGTCATGGTATGGATTTGTCACCCATTGTAAGTTTAATATCAAAATCAAACCTACATTAATTTCAAAGTTGATACATGATTTCTACAGGTATATAGGAGCGAATTATAAACTATCTTATACAGGAAAGTAAGTTACAGAAAGATGTCACCAGGAGAAGAAAAAACAAAATATCAACCATTAAGTGAAAACATTAAAGCCAGTGACAAGTCCCAACTCTGAGTGTTTTAATGAAATCAGGGAGTCAAAAAACATGTTATATAAAAGAGCCCAAAAAAGACTGTCTTGTGACAACCAGATTAAGCAAATGTAGACACTAGAATAATTACATTACAGGTGCTCAAGATAAACCCAAAACCTACAGGATTTCCACTGTATCAGAAGTAAAGCACACAATCAACTAACATGTTATCCCACATTTAATGCATGGCATACATAAGATACTCAGCTTAAATTGTAGTCTCAGATAAACTATTTGTGGATTACAAGATTTCCCAATGAAGTTTCTGCTTTTCAAGTACAGTTCTATGTAGAATGACCAGATTATTCCAAACAGAATATACTTATACGAAACTCTATTAGCCACTAAAGAGGTTCTTGCTGAATAAGGTAATGCTTGAAAACCACAAGAAGATACAATTAATATTAGCTGGATCTAACTGAAAATAAATATAAATTTGAAACAAAAATAAAAAAACTGAGCCAAATTAAAGTTTAGTTTTAGTAAACAATCGTCAGAATAGTAAGGAAGTACAGAGATACCCATAACTTACACAGGAAATGACTTTCAAAGATGTTCTATTCTAGCAGCAAGAGCCAATGACATCATGTCTCACTTGGTGGATGAAACTCTCACTTACAGTTTTTCTGTAGTAAAGCCTAGTAATATGTGGCTTGAAGATGGAAATAACAGGTGAGCATAGCCATAGATGTGCTGAGACAACGTTCCTGACCAGAGAGGTGTAAGCTATAAAACTTTGGCCAACAAATGGTACGCTACCAAGCATATACTAGTAGCCCAACATATAAAACACTTCTGCAGTTAAATGACTGTTATGAAGAATGCACCAAGAAATTAAAACAAAAACACAATTTCCTGAATATTTTACTGACTGGTGAAAGTCACTATTTCAAAATGCTATAAATTTACACAGTTATCTTTTACCGTAAACTGTCTATTCCATCATAAAACTGATGTCACGTTGTTTCTGAGAACCTCGTGTTCATTACTCAAGATTTTTTTGTGATCGTGCAGCAGTTAATCGAAGCACTTGTTACAGTGAATTGCAATTCTATCCTTTTGCACATCCTTGTTTTGAATTAAATTCAAAATGATGCATATTAAAGAACAATAAATTATAAGTATTAAAGAATTTATCTTTTTACCTTTTAGTGTATGTGTCTGAAAGAAACAGGTCACAGTTACTTGAAATTATCAGGCTTTCATGTGAAATAATTGGTTTTCTAATGAACTTCCTGCCACACTGTTGTGGTGGTTTGCATTTATAGCTTCAAATGCCTGAAAATGGGACTCGTCAAAGTCTGAATCACACATATATAGTACTCCACAGTCTTTACAAGGTGCAGTAGACAGACTGAACCAAATTGATTAGTATCAACATGTATGTAGGTAACTAAAAGAAATAAAAGGATTGTCTCAATATCCCTTTTCAGGAACAAGTATATGAATTATCTACAGAGTATAAAGTATGTGAGCTATTGATAACTTGTAAATGAAAAGAGGGTCCAAGACCTAGACTTGAACCCGGAACCTCTGGCTAACAAGGCCAGTGCTCTAACCATCAAGCTACCCAGGAGTACAAATGGTTTCTGTTAATGATCACTTATAAAGCTTCCCAACATTAGTATCATCACCATACTACCTCATTTAATTTAATACATAATTACAAGTCTATAATTTGGTCTTTGTACCTATCATAATATGGTACGATACTCATGGTAGGAAGCTTTATAAGTGAACACTGACAGAGATCACTGGTAATTCTGAGTAGTTCAGTGGTTAGAGCACATAGCCTGAGGTCTTGGGTTCAAGTCTTGGTCCTGGAAATTATATTCATTTCCAAAATATCTAACATTAATCACTGTGATAACTTGTGCTCTAAAGATCATCAGTAAATGTGAAGCAACAAGTGCTCTTCTAACAGAAAAACCATAACAAACATCAAAATCTCAAAAGACAAACAGCTGAATAAAGAGAAGCAGCAGGTCAGCCACACTCATGTATCACTACAAGTAAACTTCCCTGTAAAACAGATAAATTAATAGTTCTGGTAAAAAGAAGAAAGCATTAGACTTGTTCTGCTGGTAAATCACCTTTTCCAAGCAAGAACAAATTGTTTCGGAATTGAATGGTGCCTTATACATAACTGATACATAAAGGGATCAACTATGGTCCTGGTGAATGACATTGTTTCAAACACCAGACACACACACTAGGAAGGTCCTCCACAAACTCTATCTCCATGATTCACCGCTGCCATGCTGGATTATGCCTTGCTACAAAAATGTAGTCAACCTCTTAAAACTGTTTTTAAAAATTATCTAAAACTCTTATTTCAAGAGTGTCTTATAAAACGGCAGTAAAATATGTTATACCTCATACTTCCCCATCAGCTGTAGTAAGGGAACTTTCTTAGTTGCAAAGTTAAAATCTGTTACTAACTAATCTCTTTTATTGGCTACAAATTTACATTTTGTTAAATGATAGGCTTCCTCTCATGCTTGTTTGAGTGACATGTTGCCATGATAATACTACTATTTGAGTCTGCTTGAACACATAACACATGTGTTGCATAATGGTGATAATTTTCCTTGTTATCAGGAAGGGTTTAGTTGCCAAAACATTTGCCACTGAAGTTTCATCTCTCAGCATTTCTAAGGAGTTGATCAAGTGTGTGTGTGTGTGTGTGTGGACACTAAGCACTGACAGCTGTTTACTAAGGAGTTGATCGAGTGTGTGTGTGTGTATATGTGTGTGGACACTAAGCATTGACAGCTGTTTACTAAGGAGTTGATTGGGTGTGTGTGTGTATGGACACTAAGCACTGATAACTGTTAAATACAACACTATAGAGGCTTTCACAAATGGTCTCAGGATGTCCATGATCACCATCTTCTTGACAGCATCTTTCAATTGGTGTTTTTAATCTTTTTTCATCTATATTTGGACAAATGACAGCATCAATAACATGGAATACCTTGTGCTGTAGCTTAATTGTTTTGTTAGGTCGCCACAGCAAAAAGCCCTGAAATCTTGCTTAAATACTGAATGGTTCTCCAGATCTAATAAAGGACTACTTTCAGTTAGAGTTCCTCTGATCTCAGTTGAAGATTTTTCACAACTTTACTTTTTTTTAAATAGGCTTTACTACCACAAGATAACATGTTGTCATTAATTTATAAATTTATTGTACAAAACTACTGTATATCACAGTTGCCTCACACACACTTTCATGGAACAGGACTCACTGATTTATTGCTAATAGACTAATAACACAGCCCTGTGATGGATTTATTGTCTTGAAATTTATATATGTTCTACAGTAATTCCTGTATGCTGAATCCGAAAATGTTATCAATTTTTCTCCATCACAAACAGATTTTTCACAAAACGTCATATGTACTTTTACACAAGTCAATCATTTTCATTGAAATCAGATCACATTTTGTTATGCTTCAAATGTTGATAACCACTGGCTATAACCTTCTGTAGAACAATCATGACATGAGAGTCTTATTGATTGTTCTAGAACCCATGAGACACCCACATAATAATAAAAAATTTTCACTGTGGTAAACGAAATAATAATTTGATCTAAGTAAAAGTTATTTTTTCTTCCCGATTTGTAAAAAAAATCTTTATGTGATAGAAAAAAATGAATATTATTTCTGAAGTCTGCATAGCTGAATTATGGAAATTCCTTTATTAAAACCAAAACAATTTTTATGAAGTTTAAGTTCAAAGGCCCGAGTAATCAAATCTTGGACATTATCTCAGAAACAGGATGAGAGGAAAACAAAATTAAAAGGAGGTGAAGCTATAAATAAACTAACATAACAATTAGATCATATTCAAGGCACTAGGAAAGTTTTACTGAGTTAAGAATGTGCAGTATCCTAGGATTCAGAACCAACAGTACTGATCTTCATAATAACAAGGACCTAGTATGAAAATAAAAAGTGTAACAAGACTTTATATTACCCAATTTTGGAGCTGTTTAATGGCATGCTGAAACTAATTCTCTAGTCATATTCATATTATTACCCATGGTGTGAAAATTCTAAAATTCTGAAGACGAGAGGCAGAAGACTTTCGAAATGTCGTCCTTTACAGTTGTAGGTTTCTACAACAGGCAGTTGCTGTCCATTTGAAACTTAGATTCAAGTAATTTATTGTTTACTGCATATTTTTTCCATGATTGCAGTCTACATTGCTAGATTATCTGCCGTAAAATGCAGCACATATACTGTATGGATTGATGAACTACCAACCTTTCTTGTTTAAATGGTATTACCCCAGCATGAACCAAGTCAATAGTCTACCTCATACTGAATAGGTGGGCAAACTTCATATTTACCAGAGAGGTGCCATGTCACATACAGATATGGCTATTATAATATGTTGTATGTGATTCCCGCAGCAGATTTGGTACGTCAAACATTATTCACAATGTTCAGTGAGCCAGAGTGCAAGCACACCAAATGCCATATTTTGCCACTGGAGTTTGTACATTTCAGTCAGGTGCAGTGCACAGATATTCAGTACAGTAAAAAAATGAAGGTTAATGAGAAAGATATATGTACATATTATAAAGAACAAACTAGAACTGCATAGCTGCAGGAACTAAAAAAACAAGTGCTAGTGAGATGTGGTTAGATTTGAAAAGCTGGAGCACTATGGTGGCTTCACTGTTTGTTTGTTTTTCAGATTTCTTGCAAAGCTACACGAGGGCTATCTGCGCTGCGCTACCCATCCATAATGTAGCAGTGTAAGACTAGAGGGACGGCAGCCAGTCATCACCACCCACTGCCAACTCTTGGGCTACTCTTTTACCAACGAATAGTGGAATTGACCTTCACATTAAATCCCCCCCACGGCTGAAAGAGCGAGCATGTTTGGTGGGAGGGGATTCGAACCCGCGACCCTCAGATTGCGAGTCGAGCACCCTAACCACTTGGTTATGCGAAGCCACGGTGACTTGATGACAGGTTTGTTAAGGAAAAGTAAACACCAAAAGGTAACAAGTGCAACATGTATTGATCATTTTATTTGATAAAAACAATCACCATAATTTACCAAAAAGTAAAATGAAACAAATCACCTCAAACCTTGGGCTCTTGGGTTGTTGCAATGGTAATGCAATGCCTACAGTACATCAGGGGTGCCATTCAACAATGGAGACTGCTTATATTTATAATTAGTGGGTGTGTCTAAATTATGGTAATCTAAAACCCTGTGCAGAGATTTTTCATGAGTTTAAATAAAAGAGGATGGACTCAGATGTACAAACAACAAAAATACAATTTTATTGACAAACAAAGCAAGAACAAATAAAACTATGAATGTTCAATCTATAACACAATCTAGTCATTAAAAACTGAAGTTAAATAAACTGACATTTAATATTAAAATAAAACTGAAACAAATGATGATTTAATTAAAAGTGAACAGAATTATAGCTATTTGGAGTGGAACATTTTTATTAAAACTTAAAAGTTAATGTAAATAAAGTTAAAGTTAAGAAAACTATGCCACACAACTGGCAGTGAGCTGAAACAAAGAACAAATGATCGATGAATACCATTTCAAATGCAAGACTCGTCTCTTCTAAGTTTATAGACAATACATTTGAAATTAGAAACATTACTTTCATAAATCACATTCTCTCTCTCTATAGCTGATGAGTCACAAGTTCGATACCAGGAATCTGGATGGATCTCACTTTGATAGTCAGTCACGAAATGATCCCATACTCTGTGTTATGTTGGCTACAGTACAACTCATAAGATGGTAGATAACACTCTTGACCGAGTCTTGCAACAGGGGTTCATATTTAGGGATGATTTTACATTTGGTTTTTATGTTAAGATTAAAAATACTTTTCTATATCTCAAAATATTCAAATTTAATTTGCATAATCCATAAAACCTCCTAAATAATTCTATCAAACTTTTTTTTTGCAGAAACATTTTATCTGTTATTTTCGACATTACAACTTTATACACACAGATGGTCAATTTTACTGACCTCATAACCACCATAAAAAATTAGGAAATAAATCTAAATTATTCTTTTTTCTTTCTGGAATGATTGCAGATTGCAACAGAAAATCACAACTGTTTATCATATATAGCTTAAAGCTAAATAACAGTATACATTTATTTATACTCAATTTTATTGTTTTATTGCCCTTTGAACTATGTCTAACTAATAATCCCACCACACAAGCTGTAAACCACTCGGTGTACGGTGTACGTGCAGTTCACATGACCATATCGAATTAAGCAATGCACAAGCTACTCACAAGCATACCTTGTGAAGAATTTTCAATTATTATTTTCATTATCTTACCTAATCTAATTTTATCTAATTAATTTTTACATTTTAGTTTTTTTATAATAATAAATAAAGAATACACAGGAAAAACAAGAAATATAATACTTACGCAGGTTTTAATTTTTTGCTGTTGACTGTCAATGAAACTAAAACCTACATTTTTTTTTATACTAGTGGTACCATTAAATATTTTTTTATTTAATTAAATAATGCAACTAAGAACACAGAATAATAACACATAAAAAACAATGTCCTATAACTATAATAACTTCTCTGGATTTTTAACTATGCAATAAGAGCTCTTAAAAATTCAGCTAAGCTCATCAATGTGTTTTCTGTAGGAATAAAGATTGAACTGGAAGCAAAATAGACAATTCTCTGTATAGAAAATAACATAAAACATCTATCATTTGATAGATTAAAACTTGGGCTTTCTATTGGTTATAAATAATATAGTATTAAATGTCAGAGAGAACTATTCGTAATTTGTGAAAGAGAGGATGTGACAGGTGGGTGTGGTAGGTGGGTCTGATTTTCTAGTTTATGGCTCTGTAACCAAATAAGACTGGAGGCTATAAAAGTTATGCTTTGCTTGAATAATATCTATATTATAATGAGTAATGTACATTAAATCCCATACTTCTGGGAGGGTTGGTAAATAAATTAAAGAAGAGAGCAAATGTCACAATTCTCATACATGAGACTGAGCATTTTTTAAAATATTTCCTTATAAAAATTAAGAATGTAAAATGTATATCATATTAAAATTGGGTTTATTAAATACATTTGGATGCCAAGTTTATTTGTATACATTGATAATAAATTAGTTTAACTATATTTTGAATGTAATCCTGTAAAAAGATTGAGACATACACAGAAAAAGGTATCCATAGGGAAAGAGTTAACAAGAATTGAAGTAGTGGCTATTAGCTCATGAGCCCTGGTACTTGCTGGCATTGGATATGGCAGATATAGTATGGTTGACATATTATTGTTTGTTTTTTGAATTTCGCACAAAGCTACACGAGGGCTATCTGTGCTAGCCGTCCCTAATTTAGCAGTGTAAGACTAGAGGGAAGGCAGCTAGTCTTCACCACCCACCGCCAACTCTTGGGCTACACTTTTACCAATGAATAGTTGGATTGATGGTCACATTATAATGCCCCCATGGCTGAAAGGACGAGTATGTTTGGTGGAACGGAGATTCAAACCTGTGACCCACAGATTGCGAGTCGAGCTCCATAACCACCTGGCCATGCCGGGCCGACATATTATTACATATTCTTTTTTGTTTTCACTCATATATTCTTAGAATTACTAATGTGATTTTATCCTGCTGATGCTTTGGTTGCACAAACTGCTCCAAAAACAAAAAGACTATCCTTTTGATAATAATTTATAAGAATTAGTACAAGTAATTGAAAAATAAATTACTCACTTTAAAAACTAGATCATCCTTCTGTTCTCCAGGAAAGTCATATAATGCAACCACCATACAAACAGTTGATGCTGTTTATAACAACAAAAAAGGGATAACAAATCATTAATCACATCATCAATAATAAAAATATATCTACTTAACAGGATTTTCATTGCATAATTAAAGAAGCCTGTTAATTGTGTCTTATAATTTAGAATAACCACCCATTCACAACGATGGCCTTAATTACTCATATTTTTCAGAGCAAAAAGAACATTTTTTTCTCTAAAAAATCTCATGAAAATGTTATGTGGTCATCTAGACCTGCTTTATTAAAGTAAAGAAAAAAATCATAAAAAAAAGGTGTTTTAAAATCATATTTCAATTATGTATAAGAAAAAAAGAACGTCTGATTTAACTACACGATTTTCCTACTTTTTAGTATATTGTATTTTCTTTTAGGAAACAAATCATCACGTTGATATAAATGCTTAAGTGCTAGTAAATTCTCAAAATGATCTCAAAGTATGACTCGTTTATAAAATTCTGAAATGTGAAATGTAGACTAAGTCATTTTTAGTTAGGCTTAACATTTGTAACATTTTGTTCAATTTTATCTAATTAACAACAAATGTATATATCAATTGTATGACCACTTCTTTTAATAGCAATCACAATGAGCAGCAGATCATGGATAAAAAGGATCTTAGAGCAATGTTATGGTTTCTAAGATTGGAAGGGCGTCAAAAATATGAGACATTTTTTGAAACTGGAACTCATGAACCTTTATGATAAAAATCACAAAATGCATGCCAAAATTTTTTTTACATTTCACTTTTATTTGCTCAAGAAAGGGTTTTAAAAAGTAAATTAACAATAACTTTACTAAATTTTTTAAAAGTTGCACCCCACCTGGTAAAGTTTGAATAATATTTTCTTTTATCCTAAAGAAGTGAAAACTTGGGCAGAAACTTTAGTCCAATGATCAGTATAGCACACAAAATCACAGCTTTGTATCCACTCAGTCCAAGTTTTTACTTCTTCAGATAAAACCTAAAAATATGGAATGTTACAGAATACCTAGATTCTTAGTATATATATTAATGATAACTGTAACGTACATGAAATTATCGTAGTGTTATTGCATCACTTCCTTAGCTTTGTTACTCAAATGTTTCATGGTACATTATTATATACTTCATAATATTATTTTTACTAGCAGAAATGCCACCCTACAGGTGACTGTTTATGCTAATAATTATTAATTGTAGTATCCATACCTCACAGTAAAAAATTTGGAAAAAAGCAAACATTATCTAAAAAAAAAGGATTTTTTTTGGGGTAGTACTGCACAGAAAATGTGCTTGGATTGTGCTATTTAGTCATAAGCAACGTATTGCATCAAAATGATTCAATGTACAGAGCTTAAAATGCTCATATATTCTACTCATATAAACTGTAATGTTTTTATATGTTAAAAGTGGTACCCTTTATTGAAAAAAAATAAGTTTATTTTTAAGAACTCCATTTTTTATTACTATATTTACAAATTACATCAATAAAGATATAATCAAACCTTCACGTACAGTTCTAGTGCAAGTCGCGTTCTTGTTGTGAGGAGAGTACTTTTATTTAAAATTGTGTTCCATTATACAGAAATGGTTGTTGCACATACCATAGTTATTTATCTAATTGTCTGAATTTTAAATACCCAAACTCTGAAATATTTTATGGTTTTTTGTTTGCGGTGCCATTCAACATATGATGCAGGAGTTTCGGTTACATACATAGATACTGACATGCACGTTACATCCATTATAGTAGGAAGTTGTATGATATAAGAATCTGTTTCAACTAAAACTCTGTAGATTGTAACCCACTCAGTCCAATAAACTGTTGTATTGTGGAAAGTTTCCTCAGGATTCTCTTCAAATGACAAATTTACTTAAGGAATGTTACTACTGTACTTCATTTCTGTACATCAATCTTTTGTGATATTATGAATACACCAAGTGTTTCTAACTTCTTGTAGTGTTATAATATTTATTCTGAATTTAATTTCCTCTGAAAACTGTTGTTTGTTGTTCTCAAAGTACGTAATACCTGTTATTGCCAAATGAGAAGACTGCTATAATACAATATCTACAAAAATGTCCTTCAACGGTCGTTCAAGTTATATCTAGAGGTTATGGCCCCTCCTGTGTTGTAATGACAATGAACAATTGTGTAGGTAGCTCATGTTGCACTGGGTAAATGTGAAGGTTTTTGGCATTTGGGTAGTCTGAAACTTCTTCAACTACTCAGTCTATTCTAGAGTTTAACCAAATAAATCTGAGACAAGCCACTTCAGTCAGCTATCCATTGTAAGTGCTTCTATTATTCAATGAAACTATGTAATAGTTCAAACATATTCAGCACAACCATGCAATAAAAGTTATACCTTTCTTTTCTTGAGTTTCTTCACTATTGAGAATTTCATCCTCTTTCATCTCTACAAATGATGATGGAAAAATACCCTTCTGATTGTTTAGTGAACCCATCCACCAATCTGCATTTATAATTCCACAAAGTGTAATTATGTCTCCTTCCTTAAACGACAGTTCATCCGAATTTTCAGCTTCAAAATTGTAAACAGCCAGACACTTTTTCTCTTTGTTTGAAGAAGCTACACTGTTAGACTTATGTAAGAAAAAATAGAAATTCTTAAGTATAGTGAATTACTAGTTTAACCCATAATATATATATAAAAACATATATCAAAGGATTTTGAAACATCATTATATCAAGATTGTACAGTTATTTTTGAAAAATCTGGAGCAAAATTAAAATATGATGAACATCTATAAACACCAAGGTGAGAACTCCCAAATGTCTGTCCTGTCTGATGTTGAAAAAAACTAATGTAAGAAATAAATTCAAAGAACTACATACAGATATTCTGTACACTGTAAAATCATAACTTTGAACTATACCAGGTGTTACAATACATTTTTAATCGCTATATTCCATAATCAAGATAACTTAAAGATTTAGTAAACCAAAGAAAAGAGTTGAAGTCAGTAAGATCATAGAAAAAAAGAAAAAGACTGAGATGGTTTGGACATGTGGTAAGAAGGGAAGAAATGCTCTTCTCATTACACCTCTTTCTTCCCTTCTTACTACATGTCCAAACCATTCCAGATTACACCTCCTTCTTCCCTTCTTACTATATGTCCAAACCATTCCAGTACTCTTCTCATTACACCTCCTTTCTTCCCTTCTTACTACATGTCCAAACCATTCCAGTGCTCTTCTCATTACACCTCCTTCTTCCCTTCTCTCTACATGTCCAAACCATTCCAGTGCTCTTCTCATTACACCTCTTTCTTCCCTTCTTACTACATGTCCAAACCATTCCAGTACTCTTCTCATTACACCTCTTTCTTCCCTTCTTACTACATGTCTAAACCATTCCAGTGCTCTTCTCATTACACCTCCTTCTTCCCTTCTTACTACATGTCCAAACCATTCCAGTACTCTTCTCATTTACACCTCTTTCTTCCCTTCTTACTACATGTCCAAACCATTACAGTACTCTTCTCTGCTCTTCTCATTACACCTCGTGACACAACTGAGTGTAAACTTTATATTAAGTTTAATACAGCATTGTTACATTAATACACCTACATGGAGTAATTAATAATATGGCATATTTCAACCTTAGTGTTTATACTGGCATATCTTTCACTCATATTAAGAAGAGTTGTTGTGTGACTTAATATTAGAAGAGTATTGTTGTATTCACCACATTTTTATATATGACAAACCTTGCTTCATTTATTTTTCTTCTTAGGATCTTATCTGATTCTTTTTTTTTCATAGGTTATCGTCCAGTACATTATTTTTAATTAGACCGACGTCCCACATATCCACATCTTTTTACTATGGTCTCTGTTTTCGTCTAACTATTTGTCCCGCTAGAATTCCAGTTTAAAAAAATGCAAGAAGAAGGTTTGAGAAGGTCATAGCTAAATTAGCCTAGATACATGTATACTTTATAATGTCATAATTTACTAAGAACATTAAGTAATTCATCAGGCAAGAGAACAGTTAATTATCTTACTGATCTATGCTAAGCATTCATTCACCTGTCTAATTTCTTTAATGGGCATTCACCTCTATCTTACACACTCAAAGTTTTTTAAATCTCTAACAATGTTTTGAATATACTTTTGTAATGAACTCAAACTTATTAAATAACACTTTACTTGAAAACTTATTTCAAATGGATACATTTCGTCAGGACTAATGAGCTAATACTTCATACCACTGCCAAAACAATAGTTTTGAAAATGTGCCAAAACTCCCAAGTGAACACATAATAACATGTTTGATGTAACAAGCACTACATTATAGCCATATGTAGTAGTCCCCTTGAGCAGTTTATGTACACCAAAGGTTTGTTGGGTGTCATCCACAATACCACCTGAAACACCTCATACAGGGTACGTGGGTAACCAGAGGCAACAGAAGGCACAATATAATAAGCTTGATGAGATGTGATATGAAAAAAACAAACAAAAAAAGTAACTTTCTATACAAAAATTGACAGGCTGAATGAGTTGTTCAACCCAACAGATCAAGGTAGGAATGAAAACAATACCTATGTTCCAGTTCAGAAGAGGAGGATGACTGATTAGGAAGACTTGGAAGAAGTCCAGAAGAATAGGAGGGAAAAAAAAAGGAGAATGGCCAGGGAAAAGATAAGAGGTTGTTGACAAATATGCTCTGTAATCATGATCACAGATATGGATAGACCACCTTTGAAATGCCATGTAAAAAGGGAAGTAAGATGAGTCAGATGACTAGAGGAAGGGCATGGAGTATGGTGACCTTCCCCTGTTGGTGTTGGGATGCAAAGCCTCAGAAGGAAAGGGTAATGAAGATAATAAGCTATGATACAGAAAAAGATGAGCAGATTTAGGGTAGAAGAGAGCCAAAATAGCATAAAACTAAAATTTCCAATGTAGGAGCAAAGATTCAAAGGACAGGAGCAGAAGAGAAAAAAGAAGAATTCCAACCACAGACCATAAATAAGTCTTAAGTTCTGGGATTATGTGGCAACTAAGAGTTGATACAAACAAGAGACAAAAAAGAAAATGCAACTTTCATGCAAGGAAGGAAGAGGGGAAAAAATCTTACAGTTGAGGTGCATGCAAGAACTTGTCAGAGAACTGAAATAAGACAACAAATGTTACATACCTGTGCAGGGCTGATGAGAGGGGGAGAGGCAAGGGGGGTAGCTGCCCTGGGGCCCAGAGTCTGTTGAGAGGTCTGGTAGTGGGATATTCCAAAGCTCACAAGAAATGCATACTACTTAATGAGCTAAAATGGATTCATGAAGAAAATTGTCATCAAAATGTCTTTTATGAAAAATCAGCAAAAGTTAATAAACCCTATTCTGTGGTGGCTGAAGTTAGTCCAATGGTGAGCAATGTTACCATCATTGTACATTAAGTTCTTGGATCTATCCTATAATGACCATCTTGGACTCAAAACTTGCAGCTTCCTGCTTATTTAACTCTGCTGAGCCTATCTTGTCTTTGGATGACTTTGACTAACTCTTCTCCTAACTTGCCTTTGCCTCTGGTTATTTCATTCCTGACAAGGATGAGGTAACACTCACCTTTTTTCTTTGCTGCTTTGATAATGCAGGTACAGGGGCTTCGAGAGCCAACCTAAGCCCCTGGTTCAGTAATATCATTGGGCCCCCCTTTTATTCTATCCTATTCAGGTGAGTTTGGACTCTGGGAGGTTTCAGAAACATGGATATGAGAAGCTGTATTCATTAAGATCCACAAAACTGAATTCATGGAAAGTATTAATGTTATTTCTTTTTTTTTTATCCCATTAGGTTGGGTAAGTCCATGGTACTTAGGTCTTGGTCAGTTTCATGTTGATCAAGTTGATATTAATCATTAGCTCCTGCCGAAATTCAACAACTGGGTTAATGATGAAGGGGAATATTTCCAAAGAAACCATATAACAGACTATGAAACATGTCCCAAAATCTCATAGTTTGATTAAGAGAAGAAATCAAAGTAACGTAGGAAAAGATTGTATTTCATATCAGTGGCTTTAACTTTGTATCCCTCTTTCTTGAAATCAAGAAAATAAAGGTAAGAAAGATAAAACTTCAAATATTAACTAAAATTTGAAAATAAGAAGAAAAGTGATTCTGTAATTTTTAATGAAAAGAATAACACAATTAAACAATGTGATGTCAAAGAAAAGAATTAGCTTTTTTATACAAAGTGCTCAAGTAGAGTACTGGGCATGGAAGATGTGCCCCTTCCTATTGGTGGAAGGGTATAATATCATGGTCTTTGCATCCTAGACTAGTACAGCACACAATATTACGTATAGGGTGGTATTAGCTGTTTGTTCTGTGGAGGAGGCGAGTAACATTTCTGAATCTATGTTTCCTAATAAAACTTCTCGGCTACATGCATAACAATGGCTGATATGAAATCAGTATATGCTTCTATAGGTTTTTGAGAATTCATTGTATGACTTTACTATTACTAAGTAAAGGCACTTAATTAGGCCTGATGAAAAATTGCTTAAGTCAATAATCAACTGGTAAGTTATTCACAAGCAAATTATAATTATTCATAATATAATTTAAACAACAGAAATAATAAAAGCATTATTACTATTTTTGTGAGAAAGCCAACTGAAAAAGTAACATTTTATTAAACAGTATATTAAAGTATTTTTAAATTGTACTAACACTTCAAGAATATATATCATGAACTGTATCATCATTTTATAAAACATATTTTTTTGTATTAAACAATATTTGTGAATGTTCAGAGTAAAAAACACAAAACCAGTTTTGATAACACATTTACTATCATCAGAGTTAGTGTCCACTGCATTACAGAAATTAGTCAGCTGTAGCCAATAATAAAGATTTTACCTTTCACTGTGCCAAAAAATTTCAGTTTTTGTGTTTGTTACACTTAATACAGAGCACAATGTGCCTAAAATTATAAAAAAACTGCTAATGTTATTTTTTCCAGTGCTTTTTAATTTTAAATAAAAATGACATTCATTTTGAGACACGTTTTGAAGTTTAATACTGTATCAACAGGTTGGAAACACATCCACAATCTGAAAACATTGATTTTCAATTTAAATATATGTATGGACATTGGCTAAAATGTTTCTAAGAGAAAAATCAAAAACTTACTTAATATTGAACATGAAGATCAAAGCCTATATATTTTTATTATTAATATTTCTTATTTGTTTGATACTTTCTTGCAATGTTTTAAAAGTATATTGCAAAAATATTATCATTCATGCTTTTTACTTTCAAGATAATAAAACTTTGAATTTTACATTAAATGGGCACCATTACACTATTAAAGATAACAGTGTTAATATAGATGTTGACCAGAAAAATCTCAGATTATATTTATAAATATTAGCCTTATACCAAAGCATTAGGTACTACATAGATACTGTTTTTATAAATATAGCTTTTTTAATCTTCATTGTACTAGGACTGGTACCTCTTGTGATGGCAAGGGATTGATAACTTCAACATGACTCTTAGGAACCTTTCCTTTATCTTCTCCACATTTTCCGTAGAACCAGTCCTCTTCCTCTTTTATCAAAGTTACTAGATCACCTATCTAAAGAGTAAACAAATACTTTCTTGTGATACTGAGGAACTCACCTGAAATTGATAAATTGTGGAGATGGCTGATATGGATAATATAAAACTTTTAATTACAGAACACAACTACAAACACAATGACATATTCAGGTCATCATCAGGTTAGATCTGTAAAACTGCCCATTAAAGTAGTTACAAAATGTGACAACACCTTGTAATGCAATAATATTAATAAGGCAAAAAAACTGTATGGGGCAATATAATGTAAGTTTAAAATAAATGTAAAATTCAATCTTCAAGTTGCAAAGGAGTAGAAATTTCAATACAGAGAATGTGATTTAGTAAAAAATTTCCGGTATAGGTATAAAAGTGTTCCTTGGTTTTAGTTTAAGGTGGATTTGTGCTTTTATATTAGAAGAGCCTTTTTAATTTTTTGTTTACTGATGCTGGATTTCCTGTTTAGTATTTAATATTTTCTACAGATATGCTTATTTGAGTTACAGTGTGTTTAAAATATGAAACACTGTTTTTCTGTTCACTGGGCCTGGTTTTTATTTTGTAGCTTGTTTTTTTCAGGGTAAAATTCATTAAAGTTGTCACAGAGTATATTATAGATGACACTGTTATTAGGTTTGTCTGAGTAGTCTTTACATTTTATGGATTTTAATTTGGTAACCAGTTTTTGAATAAAATTTAGTGGTTACTAGAATGTTGTGTTTGATTGCAAGTTTCTTTCCAAATGTTAGTTATTTTTGTCAAGGATTTCTTGGATGTAAGGTATGCAGTACTGTAGGGTTTTGTTGTCGGTTGTTTCACTGGATTTTGTGTTATTGGTTTAGTATTGTGGTGTTAGTTGAGGTTTCTGTGGATAAATGTTTCTAGTTTTCTGGGGAAAATTGTTCATGTCAGTGTTGTTTTAGTTGGTTAACTTCATTATTAAATCTGTGAGGTGAGCAGAGCCTAGGAATAGTGTTTATTAGGTTTTTCAGCTTTTGTTTCATGTCCAAAATCTCAGCAGATGTAAAACCCAGTATGAGCATTTTTTCTGTGAATATGAAATGTATATCAGTTCGTGTGACATTTAATTACGAAACATTTGTTGTCAATCTTCATACTGAACGATGAAACTAATGTTGGAGTTTACGAAATCAAGGTGGATAACTTTTTCAATCAGATGAAAGTGAACTGTAAGTGTAGTTTTCACATCTTCAAATAGATTTCTTTCTAATTTTGAGAAGTGAAAACTTACTTGCAAGGTCTCACTGTGTCTTAGCCCTTTTTAACTGTTGTTTTTGGTGATTGTGTGACCATCTTTCTTCAATACCAACAGTCATACATTCAGTTACACCCATTGTTATGTAATTTAAATACACTTTATTCCATGTCAAAACTAGACAATAATGCAATAGTCCTACCTATAATATAGCTTTCCATCTATATACTTTCAGTTAATTAAGGCATTCTTATTTCACCTTTATACTGTGTCTTTTCTTTTGTTTCACCACTACCACAACTTACCTCAATAAAAACAGGATTTTGTTAGTACAGAAGTGTAGTTCATTTATGTTTTTGATTAATCCAGGTTATTACTCTCTCTTTATCGTTTCTTGTAAGATACCACCCAAGAGGTGCCTACGAGATCTGGCAGGGCTTATAGCAGAGGGGGGTAGCTTTCCTTGTGCCTGTGTACAAGCTAACACATCGACTATGGGGAAATTAGATAATGTTGACCAAAATATGCACAAGAGCAGTGAATTGCATGAGTATATACAGATTATAACATCTAATATACAAGAGGTGAACAAATCTCAGACTGTTACAGTTAAAGTTATGTCTGACACACACAGTTTTTCTCTCAAAAAAACAAGCCACATTTAATCAGAGAGTTATTTCTTCAAGAGCAAAACATATTTCAGTTGTAGTTTAGAGCTTTGATAGACAAGCAGAAAAGATACTGGATGAAATTATCATTGATATTGTGTGTGAAAGAGAAATTACTGAATCTAGCAGTGTTGTTAGCTTCCACTCCAGCTGCACCACCCTCACAGACAAATACACAATAGGCAGTACACCTATGGTCAAGGACTGTGCACATGATTTGAGTTCAAACAAGTAAAATAAACTTGAAAGTACCAACAGAATTTGACAGTGTTCCTCATAACAGATTACAAGCTGGGAAAGACAAACATTACCTAACATTGAATAGATTGTGGAGATGTATGACATATAAAGCAATTCCTATACAGGCTTCTTTGGGGAACCTAAGATATAGCCAGGACTGAGATAAATAAATGCTGAAGGCCATAATCATTAAACATCCAGAGATTGCATCTTATTATCACAAGTAGTAATAGTAATTGAAAAAGTAAATGCACCAAAGTTCTGTGTAGACTTCAGGCAGTTAAGTAGAGTAACACAAATTGATGCCACAAATCTTGATGTGTTGGAAGGATTCTGATATTGCTTTCAGCTTTTGATAGATTAAGCTACATGATGAAAGTAGAGCCAAAACTGCTTTCGGCACTTTTGAAAGGCTCTATGGGTTTTGTGTAATGCACAACTATTTTGAGCAGCTGATGGAACTCGCATTACACGTTTTGCAACACAAATGAGGTTTTATCTACATCAACAACACTTTAAAATTTTGCAACACATTTCAGGCTGTAAATGAGAATTTAGACATGGCATTTCAATATTTGCAGCAAAAAAGTCTGAAACTGAAGTCAGAGAAATGTTCTTTCCTATGAATACACGTAGAGTATTTCAGGTTGGAAATCAGTTCGGATGGTTTGTTTAACCCCTTCCGGAGTAGTAAGGCATGAATGTTACCCTCTGTGCTTTGTGTTCACACATTTTAAATGCTAATTTGGTTTAGTATTTCATCACATTTTAGGTTGTGAATTTTCAGGAATTTTGGTTGTGAAATGTTGCTTTTAAAAAAACAATAAAAATACTTCCTTTTGCCTTAGAGTTTTCATTTTTCAATGTGTGCCTAAAATCTTGTAAATATTTTCAATAGTTTTATGTTTTCAATAAAACTATAATTTGTGTGACTGAGCTGTTCTACTCACAGTATACTTATTTTATCATGTATTCATACAATTTCTAATGTACAATGAAAGTAACTATTAGCAAATATGAAATAAATAAATAAAACTGGAGTATTTCTTAACATTATTAACCAGATAATTTCATCTTTTATATCTAATGTACTGTGAAAATAGCATAAAACAATTAACCCTAAAAAGTGTTAACTAGCAGAAACACAACTTGCACTTGTATCCTAAGCCTACAATGATAAAGACAATATTTTTTCAATTATAGTTTTTGTCAAGCTCAATTTCTTTCTAATAATTAGTTTGTTTTCAATAAGTAAGGAATTTTTGTACTTGTATATGTGTTTTCTATAAGAATAATTTTACTAAAACATACAAAAACCTTTTTTTCATATGAATAGTATAATTTCATAGAACTAGCTTACTGTACTCGCTGGTCCCACCTTATGTCTTCTTATAGAAGAATATTCATGTTGATTTCAATTAGAAATAACATAAAAATATTATCACAAATCAAATGAATGTGAAAAGAAACTATAAAAAAATTCCCTGGTTTATTTCTAGTTCCAAAGTTTTGCAAACTTTGTATTAGAGTCCTTTAACCACCCCTATTGGAATTTCCACTAGTCACTTTCTCAGAAACTATAAATTACTGCTTACCACATTCTTTACTTTATACTGACATAACAAAGGATCTTTTCTATCCAATCATTTTCAGCCATTAGTTCTATCTGCTTTCAAAACAGAGATTTATGAGCTACTGTCCCACTCATTGGCTGTGAAATTATATATATATATATATATATAAGAGATCAGCCACACAATGTTGTATAAATATAATCATTGACATTAAAGGAAAGTCACATGAAAACAAAGCATATATAAGTCTGTTTCAAAGGAATGGCAGTTTATGAGTAAAGGCAAACATATTTTCAATTGACTTGAAATATTCTAAAAACATCAGTACATGTGCTGTTTACATGCAATATCTCTCAGAGCAGAATAGAGATCAAAGTTCAAACATCTTTTAAATTTTTCTTTGCAAATTACACTCAGTAAATATTGTAAAGTCACAAAATATTGATTATAAATCTTTCGAGTAAAAAATTATTGAAATAATAATAGAATTACTATTTTTATTCAAGTTTTGAAATTTGATATGCAAGTATGTACTGGATACTGCAAAGCATTTATAACAGGGTTAATTTAAAAGCTGCACAACAGGTTATCTATACCGTGTCTACAGCAGGGATCAAATCTAAATTTTAACATTATAATCTCTCAAACTAAGTGCTGAAACAATCAGGGGACAAGTAGGGAATGAGTGTACACAGAACATACTAAGATAAACAGTGACAGAATGGCCTCAACCTGCAAACAAGAAAATTTGAAGCTTTATTAGCTTTACATCATATTATAGATGCTTCATGGCTGTCATGATATAAAAGACACTTTAGTTTAGATATTATTGATTAATTTATTTTTATGAGTGAATATTTTATTATTGTTTAGTTTTGTTATTATAAGAGTTTAAAGCTGACAACTGTAGGAAGTTGTGTTTAGAAGTCATTGATGTTGAGACTATTGAATGTCGCGTGCAATACAGTGACGTCGAGAATATAGAAGGCAGGCAGACGATTAAGTGATAAACATATAAATAATATGAGATGAGCAGAAGCAACAAACAAGTAACAGCAGAAGACAGTAAAGTTACAGGCAAGGAAAAGTTTAGCGTAAAGTTAATTACCGTATAGAAGTGATAGCCCTAACGATTGACATAGGCCTAGCATTTAATATGCTAGTGTAAGACTAACAAGAGATAAGAAGAAAAATTATTCCATCAAAGCATGATTCTAAAACAAATGAATCAGCCTGAGTGCACTTTGACAAAAGGAGAAGAGGATATTTAGAAGAAAGAAGACCAAACAATTATGGTAACTCACACCACAAATGTAAGTGA